TTCCTTTCCTTTCCTTTCCTTTCCTTTCCTTTCCTTTCCTTTCCTTTTTTCCTTTTGATTGTTGTTAAATATCTCAAGTCTATAGCTTTGGTTAGTCTAGAACTTATATATAGATCAGGCTAGTCACAAACTTGCAGAGACCCTCCTCCTTTTGTTTCCTGAGGACTGGGTTAAAGAGATTCACCATCATATCAAACATAGTCCATATTTTTGACATTCCCTAGATTCTGGGTTTTTTTTTTTCTTTCATGGTTAGAAATCCATCCCAAGGCTTTGTGCGTGCTAGTAACGTGAGTATTTGCCCACTGAACTGTGTCTGCAGCCCCTTCCACTTTCAACTGAATATGGTTTTATTATAAAATTAAAAGTAAATTCTCTCATGTTAGTGACATTCTAAGTGTTTTTGTTCTGTCTTGTAGACAATTTATTGTTTGTAATCAACTCCATCAAGCAAGACATTGTAAACCGAGTTCAGAATCCAAGAGACGAGAGAGGACCCAGCATGGGACAGAAGCTTGAAATCCTCATTAAAGACACACTCGGTAAGGAGACCATTGTTAGAGAATAACAGCGTATGATGTACAGTGCCAGAGTCAAAGAGGAATTCTTTCCCCCTCCATTCCTGCCCCGTCTGCCTCCACCTCTTGGTAGGGATTTATCTTCCTCAGTATTTTTACAGGGTTCTAACAAACTTGCATATCTGGTTCTCATCCCTCACCAGCTTGTACTGTGGAGAGGATCAAGGAGGCAGACACAGAGAGGTTAGGCTGGTTGGTGGCTTGTGGGAGGAACATCTAGTACATAATTTGAGATGCTACAGGGTCAGAGCTCAGCTACAGTAAGAGCAAATTACCTGTCAGGTCATACTTCCTGAAGGCTGTACAGCTTACTGCTGTCCCAGAAAATCCCAGACATATCACATTAAAAGGCCAGGTGTTCATCTTGAGTACAATCAAAAACAATCTCAGATGAAGAGCAGGTCTTAAATACCAGTGTTGTCAAAGGCCAGGTGTTCATCTTGAGTACAATCAAAAACAATCTCAGATGAAGAGCAGGTCTTAAATACCAGTGTTGTCCTAGAAAGTCGCCTAGTGCCTGTGAAATTACTTACAGGAAGCAGTAAGGCAGTTTGTTGACCTGAGTAGATGGATAATTTTATGTATTCTTTTAAAGTATTTCCATTATTCTTTTTCTTTAAAAGCATCTCATTTTTTGTGTAGTGGTTTGAGGGAGAACTTAGTTTTATAAGGTAAAATTACTTTTTACCTTTTTGGTTTTTAATTTAAAAGCTTTTGTATATCCATTAATGTATGTTCTCTTATACTAGACAGACAACTTGACCTGTTACAAAGTGCTTGGCACACATTTTCTTTCCTTGCCTATCTTGAAATTGTTTCTCCTCCTCTCTGTCATAAAATATTTTCTATTAAAGAACTGATACTACATTGGTATTTCTTGGTGAGTTGTTTGTTACTTTTGCTTAGATACAGACTATCCTCAGGTCCTGCTCGCTTCTGTTTCTCTCAGTGTGCACTTTGAGGTCCTGTTACTTGACTTTGCTCTGTTTCTTCTAGGTACATCTTAGCACCTGTAGGTCAGATCAGCCTTGCTTAGCTCTGCTCTTTGTTGCTTCCTTTTTAACTTTTTTTAATCTCCTTATTTTTTCATTTTCACTTTTTCTTACTCAGCATTCTTGTGTCATGTTGTGAGGTGTGGTGTGTATGGTTCTTTTTGTTTGCTTCATATAGACTGTTAATGTTGACATCATGGAGGTCTTGCAGATCTGGGTACCTTGTTCACACCTTGAAAGTTAGATCTCACAGAGATTCCTTTTCACTGTGCCATGAGCTGGCTGTTTTTAGAAACGGTTTCTACCAAGTGTGATGCTTCATGCCCATAATTCTATCACTTGGTAGGCTAAGGCAGGAAAAGTATTTTGAGCCATCTAAAGCTTCATAGGGAGACCTCTTCTCAAAGAGAAAAAAGAAAGAGTTGATAGAGTTGTGTTCCCTAGGGGTTGGGGGTTGGGTGGAGGTGTTCTAACTCCTAAGCCAAAGTGACCCTCTGGGTTGCTGAGGCTGCAGACACAAGCACTAGTGAGCTCAGCTTTCCAGGGGTAGAATGTTTTCGGGTTTGTTTTATTTTGTTTTTTTGAGGACAGGATCTTGCTATGTATCCATGGAGAGCTTGGATTTAGGTGTGCATCTCACCTGTCTACTTGTTGTATGGAGAGAAGTAAAAACAAATCTCTGCTACCACAGATGCGGTGACACATTCCTAGACATCACAGTTACTTGAATTCGTGTCATAACCATCCTGGCCAATACAAAGAATCACTTATCCTAAAAAATTTGAATGAATGAATGCCTGACTGCTATCACGCAGAATCTCTGTCAGGTTAAAGCATTGGGGTTTCTTTGTATTACTAGTTTGCTAGAACATTTGGAACAGCTGTTGGAGAGAGAGAGAGAGGGAGAGGGAAGAGGGAGAGGGAGAGGGAGAGGGAGAGAGGGAGGGAGGGAGAGAGAGAAAGGAATATGAAATTTTTTCTTCTGGAAATCTTGTATCTCTTTTATGGAAAGCTGTACATTGGAACTTTGTTGAGTCAGCTGATCATTTATATAGTTCTATAAAATTCTATTTCTTCCAGATCCTTAAATTTACTAAAATTGTGCAAAAGTAGTATTTGGTTTTTAGTTTCCTCTCTGCCCATGGTAGGTACTGCTCTATTTTAGAGGTTGGGGGAGGGGGAGAGCGCATGTGTTTTGTGCTGTTCTTTATTTCTTGGATCAGTTACTTACAGATTGTTGTGTGCATTTTTCCTGGAGAAACATGAGCTAATACATGTTGATGCTAGATAAACACCACCAACAAAGCAAAGCAACGGTCTTTCACAAGTCCACGTGGTAAACCGGTACATTTATTTGGCTTAGAGAGCATGCATGAGTAAGGAGTTGCTTGCAGGAACATTGGTTAGACCTAGGCAGCTGTTATCATCACAGAATCCCAGCCTATCATGGTGTTGACCTCCTAGCACCTGCATCATAGAGGGAGAGGCAAGATGATCACTCAAGGTCACCCTGAGCTACATCAAGAGTCTAAGGCAACCCATGCTACACAAGACCCTGTCTCAAAAAAAAGTGAAATCAAATTCCCCCAAAGATAGGACGTTCTTGGCTTTAACTAGATCTTTTGGCTTATTACTAATAGTATTATTTGTTGAGTTTTTTTTTAACTGCCAAATATATTATTGCAATTTTAGATGTTTTGTGGGCATCTGAAAAGATGTGTTCTCTGTCACAATTCCCATGTATGTTTTGTTGACTGGTGTTCTTAATCAAGTCACCTTTTTCTTTTATGTTGTCTTCCTCTTTGTCTATAGGTCCATATGTTCTTAATAGAACTCAGAAAGGCTCTAGCAAATGTTTTGAGTTTTACCTGCTGTTTTGTTTTGAAATGCTTAATGTTTGAATAGGAGTTGTTAGTACTACTAGATTTTCATTATGCATTAAGGTGTGAATCCTTCAGTAGAAAAGGAGAAAGAAATAGCACAGTGTATGTCTGTATTTCATTGTCCTCATTCCACCAATGGCTGATACTTTACTCTTACTTATTTCTGTTCCTGTGTACCTATATATTTGAGGGGAATATTTGGAACTAACTTGTATTATGATTCTTTATTACTATTTCAGCATGCATCTCTTAAAACAAAAAAAAAATGTCTTTTTTTTTTTTTAAAGAGTCACTCTATGTAGCTCTGGCTGTCCTGGAACTTAGTATGTAGATCAGGCTGGCCTCAGACTCAAAGGTGCTGAGGTTAAATGTTTACACCACTAAATCCAGCAAGTATGTTGTCTTAGCCACAGTATCAGAATTATTATCTAGACCTATGAGTACTGATGTGATCTCCAGTATGGAGCCCAAGCTTACAAACCCTGCTCCTGCTCAGTTATGCCTGCTCCTTTCTCTCCCTCTCCCCACCCCCTCTCCTCCTTCTGTGTATGTCTGTTCAATTTGAGAGTGATTCATTGGATTTAATTACATCTCTTTTGCCTGTTTTTTCCTCAGCCTTTTTTTTAATGAAAATTCTAAGTAATTGATTCTGAGTGCCCCAACATTGAGATTTACCTGTTTCTTCATATAAAGTGGGGTGATTTTTGTATCTGTGTGTGCAGGTACACACATACGCACAGTGTACATGCATATGTTGTGGGGGCCTGTGTGGAGGCCAGATGTCAGCATCAGATATTTTCCCTCAGAAGTCATCCACCATGTTTTTTGAATACGATTTTAGGCTAAACTGGATGGCCAACAAGTCCCAGGGATCCTCCTGTCTCCAACTCTGCAGCTCTGGGATATACAAACACATAACCACACCAAACCCAACCTTTTACATGCTTGTCTTCTAACTCAGGTCCTCCTGCTTGGGGAGCAAGTGATTCACTGATTGAGCCCAAGATAGAGTTAAGTTTATTGGTAAGAATAGATCTCTCCTGTTTGATTAGCCAAGAGTGTGGTGTGAGTTTGCTGTATTAGTGGTCATCCTGAGCTTAACTGAGTAGTTAAGGTAGCATTGATATCTTTATGATTTGGTATATGTGTTTTAGTCAGTGATTAATGTTTTCTGTTTACATTCTCTTTTTTCTTACGTGTTACCATTTCCCCATTTTACCCTCAGACAAGGTCTTACTATGTAGCCCAGGCTAGCCTGAATTCATAATCATCTTGCCTTAACCACTTGAGTGCTGAGATTACTTGTGCTATCTTGCCTAGTTTCATTTTCCTTAATACTTAAAAAACAAAACAAAACTTATACCTGTAACATTCTTATACCTGTGCTATTTATGTCCTAACATTAAGTATTTTCCTGACCCAAAATGAAGAGGATGAGGAAGTCAACATACTTGTGATGTTGCTAATTTCTCTCTCCCTCTTCTGTTCCACCTTTTAATATTCATTTTTATTTAAAATAAAGACAAAGGAACTTACATTGTATACAGTAATTTAAAAAATTGTCAGGTATATCTTTTATGATTTCAGTTTTAGTCGTGTGTATGTATATACTACAGAACACAGTGAAGTCCAAACAGATGAAGGACACAGGCAGCAGACTCCCAGGCTTAGGAAACAGCCTGCCAGTGGGTCTCGGGCTTCTTTGGGGATTGCTACTCGTCATCTCCCACATTAAAGTGCTTCATGACTCTTGGTGTGGGTCTCCTTGGGAGTGAAGTCTGCCATAGGATGGTTTTTCAGGGTTGCAGTAGCAAGTAGTGGAGCCCTTGTTTTGGGGCCAGTATTAGGCTTCAGACTTTTTCCTTTTCCTTTATGTCTTCTCCTGTTTGTGTCTTAAGTATGCCTTTTATTCTCTTCAGGTCTCCCAGTCGCTGGGCAAACCTCAGAATTTGTTAACCAGGTGTTAGGGAAGACTGCTGAAGGCAACCCCACTGGAGGCCTTGTAGGACTAAGGATACCAGCATCAAAAGTGTGATCAGCCTCATTGGACCACTGGTCAGAAATGTCTGTTTTTGTCATGTTATCCATTGTAAATTTTCATTCTGTTTTGCATGTCAATTAGCATTATGTAAACATTTATAATTAGGTTACATTGTTTTAAGAGCTTGTAGCATAAGTGAAGCATGATCCAAGATACTTGATTATTGCATTTTCAGAGCATAAACCAGTGACCCTGCTGTGGCATTAGAAAGAAGCTCACATTTTAAGTAAATGTGAGGTACAGATTGTAAACATTCGTTGAAGCAGAACGTTTTGGATGAGTGAATATATTAGTATAATGCTAAGTGTTAAGGTGGGTTTATGCTCTGAACCACACAAAAATACCGAGGAAGCATTTTTTTTCAAAGTCCATTTAGATTGTTTTTAGAATGACTGCTTTTTGTTCTAATTTTTTTACAGCCATTAATCTCACTTGTACATGGCACACCCAGCACTCACGTGTGTACCATGTTTAGATGTTTATTTTCAGAGCTCAATATGATATAAATACATATATATATAAATATATATAATTGTCTGTGCAAGTAAGAAAAAAGCATATTCTTTGTGCCTTGTATTTTGGGGAAACTCTAAAACTGATAATATTTTGTATGATGAAAACCCTAATGAAGAAAACCAAGATATATAGATGAGAAAATTATGGGGTTTAAATGTCTTTTTGTTCCAACTCTTTTTCAGATTTTTTGAATGTATATAGGACTATGTTGAAATGTAGATATATGCCACAGAGTCTGTGTATTGTATAAAAAACAAAACAAAAACAAACAAACAAAAAAAGATGGCTCTAGAAAACTCCTATTTCGGTACTTGACCGGAAGAAAATACTTGCACATTATTGCGATTGTTTTATTTTTTCTACCAAAGACAAATGCAACTGGTATGGCAGACTGCCAGTCTAAGTAAAGTTTTGCACAGCTTACATGATACTGTATGAATGTATGAAAAAAAAGAGAAAAAATTAAAAGGTCAGGGTTAGGGATCTTACTCAACTGTGAATTTTATTTCTGTTTGGGTCCAATTATCTACAGAAGGAGCATCCATACATACAAATATTATTTTGCTGTCCTCTAGTTTGCTTCCATAGTAGATAAGTTGGTGGCCACTTAGGTGTCTTTTATTTCTGCAGTTACTGTAGGAAATTTTAATATATTTCATACTAGTAAGCTATTGATAAAATAGTTTTTGACTTTGAAATTAAAGTTTATTTAGCTTATTGTAGTATACTTCCACCAAACAACCAAAATACAGATTATTTTTATTGTATTATGTATATATATATATGTAAAGAAAGAAAAAAGCTAAAAATATCTAATACTTTTTAGTTGCCACTTTTCCAATTGATGTATTATTGTGCATGTAATATTTTCAAAGATCAACACAAGCTTAAAACAAATTTATAAATTTTTATATTTTTGTACAGGTATTTTCTTCAAACTTACATGTGACTTATCTTCTGTAGTTTCTAGACTTGAGAAACATGAACACGTTTAGTTTTTAGGTGCTCTTTGCTCACGTAAACGGCTTTATTAGTCAGTTTTTAACTGTGCTCAAGCTTTACCTCTTGATGAGAAATTTCTATGTCAAGGCAGCATTATAAACCTTCCCACGGGTCCTTCCATCCTGTCTTTCTTGACTGTTTAATCTCAAATCTTGTGTTTGGAACTATGAAAACTGGTGGCTTTAAAAGTAAAAACAAACATATCTAGAAGAAAAGCCTCAAATGTCAGACATAGTTGCTGTTTTTCCACTACCCTTTGATAGAACTAAGATAGTTGTCCTTGTTCTGCACAGGAGTTTCTTTCCTATTTCTTCCTCCTCCCCTTTTGTAAGCTATAGCACATGAAGGTTCAATTAGGGAACACAGTTACAATCCAGAAATGTGTCTTACTTGCCTCTTTGACATCATGAATCCTAAGAAACCAAGACTTACCTTGACACGTAGGCTGAAACTGTGATAAGTTTCCTGTGTGTTTGGTGGAAATGTACCTGTTCGTTTATCCATGCTAACAGATAATAAGCTCACATGGCATGGTTAGTAGAATTCAAGGTTTTACTTTTTAGGTGGGAAAAAGCAAAACATAGGTTCACAAATGAAAGTATATGAAGTCTTGAAAGTGTTCCAGAATGTGGCCGTTTTGCAGTCAAGTGAATATTGCTTCATGGTAGCGATTCAGTTGGTGAAGTTTATAAAATTGCCCCTTTCTAGCTACCCTATTAGAAATTCTGGTTTTTTGATACCCTTTTCTTGTCTGCAAACCAGAATTTGATTTTTTGGTCTTGCATTTCAAAAAACTTTGAATCTATTTAGTAGATTCCATACCCGTGCAGTTCAGTGTTTTATATGTACTCCTTAAGTTAAGTAGTTGAAAGCCTTTAAATAAATAGTTGAGCTTTTTAATGTTGACACTTTATTTTGTACCTATTTATATATGTATGTATATCTTAGAAAAGCACTTTGTTATAAAATTGCATTTTATATGATTCCTGCCATTTGCTGCTAAACCTGGGCTGGTCAGAACGCTGCAGCGATACTTGATCTAAATAAAAACCTGGCAGTAAAATGTAGAGTGCAAGTTAAATCCTCTTGCTGTTTAAGATGACATAGGCAAGCTGTGCAGCTTTACATTTTAACCAGGGGACTCTGTGGCATTTAAAACCGTCTAGAAATGGTTGTACTTTTAATGCCAGTAATGAACTGCTTCCTCTATTGTCTTTAAAATACCTACACCTAGTGTATCACAGATGGTTCTCACGAGTATGTAAAAACCCAGCAGTTGTACATGTTGTGTTTGTTTTTAATCGTGGCATGTATTTTTGGGTGGAAATCATTAGTGTGAGAGCTGTCTAAAGGTTTTCTGTGTTCATACATGGTATACAGATAGCTCATGAAGTCCAGAACCTTCCTTCAAGTGAAGGAATTGTGAATTCTCCTCAGATAAACCCACTGTTCCAAAAGCAACCATAAACTGACTATAGTACTACTACAGTAAAAAGAAAAAAAAATAATAACAATGACCCTTCTGCTTCCTGGTTTCAGATACACTGGATTCTTTAGTCTGTGCCCACATGAGAGCATGCTGCCGGCTGCTCCTGTTAAGGTCGTGTGTGAGTTTTTCAGTCAGTGTGGTTGCTTGCTGTGCTGTACCATGTATGGGTTCTTGTCATTTCCACGTCCTTCATGAGAGATTCAGGTGTGGCTTGATCTTGTGCCTTACTTGTACACTTAAATGAGATATCTTCATTCCTTCCCAATTCCCAAACCTTAACTTTGTCCTTTTTGTAAGAGAACCAGAACTATTCCAGAAGCATCATGAAGGATTTCAGATGGGCGTGGTTTCATAGTTCCCTCTCTTTGTAGTTGTTTTATACTTGTATGAGAGAACAGTTTTGAATGACCTTCGAGTAATCTTGCTACATCCCTTCTCTCTGGCTTTTGTGAGGTTGTCTTGCGTCTCTCTGATGCTTGGCTTCGTTCACATCTAAGCAAGAGTCTGCATTTACAGACAGGTGTGTTCACTTCATCTGCTTGAAAGTGATTATTTTGTTTTCCAGAACTTTTTAGGAGAAGAGTACCCATTTTGGTTGTTTTTTTACAACAGATGACATGTCTCTTTAAAAGAAACTGAAGTACAGTACTTTTGAAATACAATGCTATTGGTATGAATTTCTCTTTTATATATAATATTCATACAATTACCTGATGTTTGCCTTCATTAATAAAGCTGTTAGTTTATTCACCAAAATGTCAAGAATGGATGTGCTTTTCTTTATTCCATACATTTAAACATTATTTTAGCTGCTAAGATTTAGTTAACTTCCTAAGAAATGAATTCAAGTTGCCTTCAGCAAGAATTAACAAAACTCATGTCCCCTTTCTTTATATAGTCTTCCTAAAATTCTGTTCAACTACTTTCTAGTTAATTATGTGACAGAATGTTAGCATCTCTCTAAATCTTGAAACTTGAATTTTGAGAATGCTTTGAATTTCAGTGTTAATAGAAAAGGTCTCAACTATGTTTCTAGTGGAGTCTTTTGTGGAATACCATTTCCCATGGAACTGCGACCACTTGCACAACTTTGCACAGAACTGCAGTCTTGTTCTTCCCTGGATTGTGACAAATGAGTCTCACACAGTGCCGTGATACTTGTGGATTCTACCGTGATCTTTGTCATCTTAAATAAGGGCATTCTGAGAAAATGACTCCATGTCTTTTTTTTTTTTTAATATTTCAAATACAGTGGGACGAACAATGATGTCAGAAGTAGGGATGGTGGTTTCATTTTAAGGAATAAGCATAATGGAGGAATGTGATGAACATGTACTACTGAGAGTTACACACTTCCACAGGCAAGTGGGGTTATGTGTTGAAGCATAGTCCCCATGCTTTGTAAACTGACTGAAATAGAAATCACACCTAGGAACTGCACTATGCCAAATTGCCATTTTGTTTTGAAGAGACTTTTGGAGGTGGTAATAAGGTGATGGAACCTCACAGCTACTTCCAAATAGTATTTTGGAGTTGAAGACTTCATGGCTAGTAAAGAGCACCCAAGTTTATGTCTCAGCGTGCCAAGTGTCAACTGGGCTTGCCTCTTTAGTAACAGTGTAAACACCTAGTGTAGTTACTCAGTTCCGGGTGCCAGGAGTGGGACTGATTCTGTGTCTTGCCCTTTGTCCTTTGGGGTTTTTTGTTTGTTTGTTCATTTGTTTTCAGAACTAAATAACAAAACTGTATGTGTACTGTATCTGCCTTTCCACATGTTTTATGACACTGTACTCCCACTGCCTGCTGTTGTCTTCTTGCCCTAGAGTCTGTCCTATGGCGAGCATTTGTGGTTAACAATGACTCTGGAGCTGCCAACACGGAAGGGCAAGAATACAAAGTGTTTGCTCCTATGGTTTGGCAGCCTCTTCGAATAGTTGCGCTTAGGATCCTGTCTGTGATATGATTATAAGTACTCCGTAGTTTTGTTTATTCCCTGCCCCCAGCTGGAGCTGTGACACTTTATTGGACTCAGTCTTGTCTCTTGTCTAGAAAGAATTGTTATCTTGTTCATGCATGAGCTGTTTAAGAATGACTCAACGTTGGTTAATAGCCGTGCAGTTTTCCTTTTAGGAGAAGGCCATGCACAGGTTACTTTGTTTTCTGTCACCCTCTAACCTGTCAGCACTTGTAGTCAGACACAGAATCATCAGTGTATGCAGCACCCTTTGTAATTTAAAATAAAAAATATGAAAAGAAAAGGTTTTGAATTGTTTGCCTCATATTTTGTCTTTTTTCCTTTCCATTGCCTGCAACACAGCAGCCATCCATTCCTCAAGACAACCTGTTCAAAGACTGTTCTAGCCTTACAGAGCAGAGGGAGTCGGCTATGTTGCCTCTCTTTGGGGCATGTTCTGAGAGCTAAGGTTTATTGACACCCTAAGCTGGCTTTTAGTTTATTTCAGTGAGATTCAGCTATACAGAAATTATTTAATAGAAACATTTGCTTTTTTGTAAACAATAGTTTATATTTAATTTGTCCTTTGATAACTTGGACAAGAGATTTCTTCAAGAAAAACAAGTATCAAAACCATCTTTAGGCTAGGGGAGCTGTGAGCCTAAGCCAGTGGAACCTGTCTGGGTGAAGTTGGCATAGGAGTAGATATTCTTCAGCAACAAGCATTTGTTGAGAACCTCCTCTGTGTGCCAGGATGGTTATGTGGATGCCTGGTTACAGAAGGATTTAAGAGATCTCCACACAATCAGTCTACCAACGGGGTTGGCATGTGGCCGGAAAACAAGCCATGTTCAAAGTGTAACATCCTGTAGGGATGTTAAAAAAGACAATGAGGGCTGGGGAGAGGGCAAGGTTTTTAGAGTGCCAGGCAAATGTGAGGACCTGAGTTCAATCTCCCACACTCAACAGCAAGGTCTGAAGTAGACACTTGGTAGATCCCTGGGGCCCTCGGGCCAGCAGAGTCTTCTTGGAAACTTGGAAACCTGTCCCCAAAACAGGACAGCACCAGGGGGATGACACCTGAAGCTGACTTCTGGCCTATACACAGACACATAAGACTTGACCTTTTTGACACCCCCCACCCCCATTTGAGTGATACTGAGGCCATAAAAAAGCAAAGTAAATTTTCTTTCCTGTGGGTGGATTCTTCTTCAGGACTTAAGTTTGAAGACCATTCTTTACAAGGGTCCTTCTCAAAGTATTGGGTACTCTTAGTAGCTAGGTGATCAATGCAGTCTTTAGGGAACTAAGCCTTCCATGATAACACCAAGGAGATACATCAACTAGTGAGTTCCTGAATTCCTTTGTTCTTTTCGGGGAATGCTTGATCTGGTTCTCTGTGTAACACTTCTGACTGTCCATTCTTCAAATTTGTTTTGTGGACCAAGCTGGCCTCACACTCGCAGAGATCTGCCTGCCTCTGCCTTCTGAGTGCTGGAATTAAAGGCACGCACCACCATACATGTTTAATTGATGAATTCCTAAGCTATAGCACAATGAAGAATTTGAGAGAAAAATATTAAGTTCTGTCCTAATTCAGCTAAAAGATTCAGAATTAGAAGGTAGTAGTAGATGTCCTTAGGTATGGAGGTGGCACCCTTTAAGCCTTGCAAGTTGTTCTCTTAAGAGCCCTCGACTCCTATCAGGCTCAGTGAGGGTGGTGGCCTTGTTCCTTCTATAGAAGAGTCTGATAGCACTAAGATGATAGGACAAGCCCTAATCCAGCCAAGGATAATAAAGAAGTTAAGTTCACATTCCAATATGCCTGAGGTGTTCTGAGGACAATTCATACCTACCTCAGGTTTACCAGGCTAGTATTTGTAAGAATGCCCATGCAGAGGAAAGCAATCTGTTTAGAATGTGAAAGTCAAAATGAAGTAAAGCTAGCCATTGTAGTCGTCAAATCAGATACTGAATGAAAGGAGCAAAATAGAGTCAGGAGGGATTCAGGACTGGGTGCAGAGGGCATGCAACTGCTCCTTCACGATAGCCTCCAGCTTAGATTGTCTTATTGGAACAAAATGGCTCAGAAAGTAAGAGATATGGGGAGCTCCTTGCTTTGGCTGCTGCAGACAGCTAATTACATAGAAATTTTCCCAAGGAGGAGGATAGGCGAAGATCCAAAAGCATGAAAATTCTGTCATTGGGTTTTCTCCAGTGTCTTAGATAGAGAGCTTTACTCAGAACATTACAGTGATTTGAATGGTAACCTAGTTCTTTAAGTTTTTCATCTTAAAATAGTGCTTGGATTAAAGAACAGAAAATGTATAAAATTGAAAGTGTACTATAGAGAGTACAGAAGAAACCTGAATGAAAACACATACCAGATTCCAGAACAGAACCTGTCAACAACTTGGGAGTTACTGGTACTGAATCACATTAAGAATGTGACACCATCTTAACAAACCAAGAGTGTGTTAAAGTTGTAAGGAAAAAACAGGTGAAACATGTAGTCGGGAGAGACTAAATCAAGTATTTAATCCTCCGTCACAAGAAGTCTCTGGATAGAAACATTTAGTGCATGAGTGGACAGGCAAGTGGATTTAGAGTTTGAAAGTAGTCTGAAATATACAGAAAAACAGCATGGTCAGTGTAGCACCGAGAACCAAGGTGAAATACACGGGGCCCTGGTGTAGTGTTGGAGCTACCGAGGAACCTAGAAAACGTGGAGTTGGTTCTGCATCTCACACTGTGAACCGTATATATTTAAAATGGCTAAGGATACAAACGTCACAAAAATATAGGCACTAGAAGGGGATGTGGACAATCCTAAATCCTTGTCGAGTGGGAAGGACTTTTTAACATAGACCCAAGTCCAAAAGTCATAAAGATCTTCCAATGCTATGGGAAACTGACAATTTAAATCCTCTTTAAAAAGCACCATTGACAAAGTCAAAAGTCTACAAATTTTGCAACTCGTGTGAATACTAATACAGAAAGGGCTCCTAGAAACTAATTTGAAGTAGTTTAATGACCCAGTAGAAACATGAGCAAAGTAATCATGATACCTTTGAAACGTTCCTCAGTCTCATTATGAGAGAAAGGCAGTTTTTGAGAAAGAGACTAGATGATAAGAACCCCAGTGTCAGCACACCACGCTGGTGGGGCTAAAGGAAATAGGCATTTCCACAATTTTGCTGGTGCAGTGTAAACTGATAGAACCAGCATGACAAGACAGGGCTTCACACCTGGCTGGTCTGGAACTCACTATATACACTAGGCTGGCTTGGAACTCGTGGGGATCTCCCTGCCTCTACTTGAGTGCTCAGATAAAGTCATGTGCCACCACACCCAGATAAAAAGGATATAGATAAAGTTGTATAGAGCTAAAATGTCTTGACAGTTGTGGTGTTGATCAGTACCTGTAATTCCAGCAGTTGAGAGACTGAGGCAAGAAGATCAACAATTCTAGGTCCTCCTTAGCGACATAGGCAGTTGGAAACCAGCTTGGGCTACAAGAGACCCTGCCTCAGAAAAGCAAAAATAAGATGCTTAAGGCTTTTCACCTGTCTCATGTGTTCTGTTGTCATCCTCCTCCTCTTTCCACTTCCATAGCCAAACAAATCAAGTGTAGCTACGTGGCAGAAGCACTTAATAGAAAATGGCTGCACATAGGGAAGTACTCCCAGAGTGTAGTACATGAATAGCAAATACCAAGCACTGAGTTCATTACTACGTTATCAACAGTGCTTGGAGCGGTTCATGTCTTACCTCATTCCACCTTCCAGGCCACCTTAGGAGTGATGTTACTGATGATCACATTCCTCTGAGGAAACTAGAGCAGGGTTGCTGACTACAAGCCTGGAATCCAGGCCTTTGTGACTTGCAGGAAGCTACTGAGCACTTTTTAGGAAGGGTACGGAGAAGGGGCTGTGTGTGCAGTTTGAGAAAAACATTTTAAAAAGAGCCCCACATTGAAGATTCTACAGAGCCTGGAGAATCCCAAAGGGTGGGGGAAAGGAGAGTGGACAATGGTGCTGAGGGCTCACTAAGAAATAATAATTTTTAAAAGAATTACCCCTTCTTTGAGGTTTGCACTGACATTGTTTCTATCAAAACTAGATCTAGATCACACAATCAGAACTACTCCTACGAGATACTTAGAATCCAAAACCAGAGCCATAGAAATGTGTGAGGAAGGCAATGTAGGTTCTGTATATATGAGAAAGCCCCAAGATCATGGTTGTAGTAATGGAGGTGCTCCAGTGACCTGTATTTAATTCTGCACCTTTACAAATTTTGTGTCTTACTCCATAATGCATACTTACTGTAGAAATTTTGTTTTAAAATTTAAAGAAAGAAATGCAACTTTGGTGACACCCTAATTCGTTCTTTTTTCTCTATCCAAAAGGTCACTAGAATAGCAGGTTGTTGTTGTATCTCTAATGCTGGGAACAAAACTGAAGGCCATGTGGCATGCCAGTCCATCATTACCTGAGTTGTAGCCCCCATCCCCGTTCCCCACCTCAACCCTAATGGTTCTTCATAATCACATTTCACTTTTCTGTTTAGTAGGAGCAGACCAGAGAAGTTATGCGTGTTCTACGTGACAAGGAAAGTTCCAGGTCGGGGCTGGCGACCTGGTACGCTCCACACCTGGTCTCTTGTGGCGCCACATTTGGAGAGGTTCGAAAACGCTGGCAGGCGCCCACGCGAACGCGCTCAAGCTTGGCTGCCGCTGCTCGCCGTAGCTGCGTTTCCAACATGGCGGCTCCCCAGGACGTCCACGTCCGGATCTGTAACCAGGAGATTGTCAAATTCGACCTGGAGGTGAAGGCGCTTATCCAGGTACATATTATTAGGCTCCTGTCCGGCTCTTGATGGCTGTCTTGGCATTTTCCAGAGCATTCGCGCCAGATCCAGCTTCCTAGGCCCGAGGTCCCACTCCAGAACAGCTCCTCGGGGACCATTCGGTCGGTTCCCCGGGAACACTGACCTTCAGCGCTTTTCTTTTGTGTACTGTTGGCTTGCCCACCCCTGGGGTACCCTGTCACGCCGCTCCCGTCCCTTAGACTGTAGTGGTCCTGGGCTAGCCCGCCCACCCACAGTCTCGGCGGCAGCCCCGCCCTCACCCCGCCCCTCTCGCTACCCACGCCCACTTCCCTGAGTTGGGACTCGGAGGAGACCCAAGGCCACCTGGCACTGGAGTTCCTTCCTGAAGCTAACTAATTTAACCTGGGACGTGGTTGTAATTTTTTGAATGAAGAAATCAAATATTGTGCTAAGTCCTGGTTCAGAAGGCAGGCAGTGCCAGTACTAGGACCTGGAGGGGAAAGCTAGCCTAAGAAAGCCATTTTAGAGCTTCCCTACTCGGTTGAACAGACCAGAAAGTGAGGCGCTTATCTGAAAGCAGGTCTAAGTAGGAGACAGTAGCACAGTGGCGGAAGAACAGGGAATGTAGAAATGGCTCCAGAGTTTGTCAAGAAGAACCCAACCGGCTCAGAATACAAGATGTGATAGAAAATAAGGAAAGGGTAGGGGTGCGGACTTGCCTACCGCTGGGTTCCATCCCCAGTGCCACATAAATGGGCTGTGGCTACTGGTGTATGCTTTGCTTTGCGAGCCCCTGTAAAAAGGAGGGTGGGGAGTATTGTTCTCTGGTAAGTGTAGGCTGTACCACATTAGCAGTTTCTTGTGAGGAAGTGTGATTTCGTGAGTAAGCTAGAGAACGAGTGAAGAACCGCCAGCCTTACATCTCCCACACTTCACTCCTGAGATGTGTAAACAAAAAGAAAAAAGTCTGGGCCAATTTTAGAAAAATAAACAAGATTGGGTTTATACAAGTGAGATTACCAGAGGCTGGGGGTAAATTTAGCATAGTGTAGAGTTAAAGTTTAGCCATGTGCAAGGCTCTGGTTTCAGTCCTAAGAATGCATCTATAAATACACACACACACACACACACACACAAAGTTGCTAGTGTGGCGGCTCTAGCGCTTGGGAGGCAGGATCGCTATGCATTTGAGGCCAACCTGTACTACGATCTGTCTTCAAAAAAAAAAACTTAACATCCAAAATTTTGAAAATTGTGTTTTCATATTATACCATAATATGAAATTATATAATATCATAATACTTTACATTATCATAAAAATTTCCTGTTAGCTAGGACTCTTGTGACTTCTGTGTTTTGAGTTCTTATGGTTACTATGAGTAAGCATAGCCCCAGACATTGTATTCTTATGGAGTTCCACCTGTTCTATAAGTGTTCTACGCAGAGAAATATGATCTTGAGGAAGGTAAGCTGAAGAAATGGAGGCACAGAGAACTTAAGTATCCCAAGATTGCACTAACAGATTGCTGTAACCAGCATTTGAATATACGTAGCCTAAGTCTAGAGCCTGCTCTAAAACTTGGCTCTCATAATTCTGACTTTCTTTCCAGAAGCAAATTCTCAGTCCATCTTTAAACATTTTGACTTGCAGCAGATGGTTTGTAAAATCAGACTAAATTAATTTTGGTGCAAGTTACCAGGGATTTAGGCATGAGGATTTTAAGAGTTGGAAGGATCTGAAGTTACAGTATTTTTTAGATATCCATTTTTGTTGAACATGGAAGCTGATTAAGCTTTTCCTAGTGAGTAACACTTTGCTAAACTTCTAAGTTAAGGTTGAGGTTTACCTATTTATTTATCTACACACATACAATACATATGGAGTATATGCAGGTGCAAGTATGTGTGTGTGTGTGTATGCATGCGTGTGTGTGTGTGCCTGCGTGCGCGTGTGTGCATGTGGATGTGTGTGTGTGTGTTTTGCTGCTGCTGCAAGCCAGGGCCCCAAGCATGCTATGGAAATGCTGTACCACTGAACTATAGATCTGGCTTCCTTTTTTTATTAGGCTCGGTGTTAATCTTAAGAGGCATAAGGAAACTAAAAATGATGTGTCTGCTTTTGTGCAGAGGAGAGCAGCACTGAGCAGGATGAGGTAGCAAGGGAGCCTCAGCAGTGTGGGCCGAATCAGCTTTCTCACTGAGCTGATGAGGGCATTTCATTTCATTGACAGGAGAAAGGCCCTCATCTCTTCATTGTCTTCCAGGATATTCGAGATTGTTCTGGACCCTTAAGTGAGCTTACTGAACTGAATACTAAGGTGAAAGAAAAGTTCCAACAGTTAAAACACAGGATCCAGGTAAGTGAGGCTACAGAGCCACTGTTAGCTAAGGGTGGGTAGCAGGGGTGACAGTGACTGGACTAACAAAGTGTGGATCCTACACGCTAGTTCCCTGCTCGCACCCATTGTCAGCGTGTCCTTGGTGTTTTTGAGCTATTACTTTGCGCAGTAGCCTCTTCCCAGTTTCTCGAGTCATTGTTTGTGACCAAGTACATGCCTGTGCTGTCTCAAAACACAAGAGAGTGAGAAGGAACCATGTGATTAGTAGAGCCATTGCCACTGCTGTGCCCCAGGGATAAGTGCTACCTCTGCCTATCACTGGGTGGGTCTAGAACCACCTGGCTTTGCTGCATGGGGTAAATGACATTGTCCCCAAACCATCCTTCAACAGATACCGTTCATTAGCCGATAAAGACAGTGTCTTCAGAGCTGGTGGAGAAGTTGGCAGGCTAGAGAGCTTCGACAGTGCTTCTGCCCTCAGAGCTGACTTCAGAATTTCAGCACTCACTGTCACTGTACCTAGGTGATCGCCATCTCCTTTATTGCTGCCACCATCTGAACATTTCAAAGCGTCTTGCTTCCTGTGTGTTACGTTTGCGTGTGCATGTGTGTGGGTCCACAGCCGTTGGCCTCCGTTGTGTGTCTTGGTGATGTCCTTTATTTCTTCTCTACACCCTCCTCTCAATAGGTAATTTTTCTCTTATCTGTTACTTCCACATCTTCCCAGGGTGTGCTTTTCTGATATCTTCCCCCGTGGCAGTGGGCATGCTACAGCCTAACCTCGTGGGGGAGCTCCACCTGGACAGCCTACCAACCTGTCTATACAGCTGTAGGTTTTTCTAGCTCTTTTTTACTAACAGGTATTCATTTGGGATGCTTGCCTGTTTTGAGCTAATTTGTTTTCTTAAAATGCCTTTCTTCAAACTCTGCAACTTTTAACTACCACTGTTGCCTAAGTACCGGCATGCTAACCTGGTGTTTATTTCCTTTCCTGGGTTTAAGTAAATGTCCTCACCATATATTTACATGTTTGTCGCGCTCTTGCCCCTGGCTCCAGCCTCTCCTTCAGCACAGATGTGTTGTTGACATCTAGCAGGGCGATAGATAGCCCCGTGAATGAGATCCCAGCTCTCATCTGCGGTTCCTCAGAATTTGCATGCTGTCTAGACCTGGAGACATAGAAAGCTCTGAGGTGAATGCCTTTTGTATATTTCAGTAAGGTTGTATGCTAATAGGAGAGAACTGGCTGTTCCCTATATAGTCAGTCAATATCAGCACAGCTGTGTGTAAACATCTGTCTTTGTATTGTGTTTCTTCAGCTGGAACTCAGCAACAGTACACTTTCATCTCTCCAGAGTCTGGGTTCTCTGACCACTGCCAAGCAGCCTTATCTAAGGAGACTGTACGTTTCTCCTGCCTCTCTTCTGCCTCCCTTCTTCCTTGTCATCCATTCTTCCTCTCAGTGACTCACTGCCAGGCAGAAGAGATAAAATAGAACACAAGCCTTTGTGCAGTGACAGCATTGTAGGGAATGGGGAGGGGCTAAACAAAACTTTATGGCAAATAGGTAAGATTTGCACTTTTTTCCCTTTTTTTTTAAGACACGGTCTCACTGTGTAGCTCTGGCTGTACTTAAATTCATTCTGCAGAGCAGGCTGGCCTCGAACTCACAGAGACCCAACTGCCTCTGCCTTGAGCGCTAGGATTAAAGGTGTGTAATTTCTGAGCTGTTCAAATGACATAGGTATGCATGCTTGTTCCAAATATATATAGGGATAAGTAGATTGTTATCTGAATAAAGTAATATGTGGATCTTTTAGCTCTGTGGCATCTTTACAGTGTGTGAGACATGAAGTGGTATGGTGTCTTTTTTTTTTTTTTTTTTTTTTGGTTTTTCGAGACAGGGTTTCTCTGTATAGCCCGGGTTGACCTGGAACTCACTCTGTAGACCAGGCTGGCCTCGAACTCAGAAATCCGCCTGCCTCTGCCTCCCAAGTGCTGGTATTAAAGGTGTGCACCCCACCACCACCCGGCAATGGTATGGCGTCTTTACAGTGGTGACCGCTCCATTATCTCGGAGTTCTTAGCCCGATGCGGTTGGTCAGGCCTGCCATCCTTTGCTCATGGTAGCTCCTCCCCTTGGTGCTGGGTTATTCTGGGTTCATGAGCTCCCATCGGCTGTACACTTCTTCTGGAGTCCCTGAAGCTTGGCCAGGCCAGGGCACATCTCCCAGTCCCAAGGATTGTCACAAGTCTGGGGACACTGCTTGTGTTAGTTTTGCTTCCTCAGTTTTCAAACCACTCAGGAAAGAGAAATCTTTTCTCTTTCCAAAGTCCATAGGGTACTTACTTCCATCCCTTCCAACCAGGGTAACCAGAAATGTGTCCACGTTTTCGCTCTGCTGGAGTGGACATCCTGAGACTGTTTTATGGCTGCTGAAACCGTCTGTGGGTCCTGGGTTTGTGATGCTTCTGGCTCAACATCAGCCCCAGGTGTCCTTAGGCTTCTGTGTTATGTTCACATATGAGCTCAAACCCCCAAAGCTCTGTTGGAGTAAAGTACAGAAATGGACAGCGGTTGAAAACACATGACAGTGTGGTGTCCTCCTGGCATTGCATTGTGATGGCGAGCTCTTGTTTGATGTTTTTTTCTTCCTTTATTTCTGCAGGCTCAAGGTTGTAGGAGTGGCAACCCCTGCTCTAGCCAGGGCAGCCATTGTAGAGCTGACCACTCCAGCACCCAGTTTCCTGCTCATCTTTGATCTGCCAGGATTTCCTTCTCTTCTTGCAGACTTGCCTATATGTTTAAAAAGACATTTGATTATTTGGGGCATGTTCCCTCCCACTCCCAAGTGTCTGTTGTAAAGGGTGCTTCCGTTGCTTTTGTGCCCCTGCTAGAAACAGAAGTGCTCTTGGTTTTCATCCTAGCTAACAGCTGCTTTCCCCCTCTAAGGAGCTGGAGCAGTCAGCAAGGGAGCAGGACAAGGAGTCAGAGAAGCAGCTTCTACTGCAGGAAGTGGAGAACCACAAAAAGCAGATGCTCAGGTAGGCAGGGCTCCGCACAGGGTGACAGTGCTGACTGTGGGCCTTGTACCTGTATTTGTCTGATCTGGCTAAATGGTGATATAGTGGTATGATTAACACGCAGTCTGCAAGCTCTCTAGATCTGAAGCCTCAGATGTAGGAGAGAGGTGATGAGTAGTCTGCATGGACGGTCGGAGCTGCGCGTGTCTGCATGCTCACCTCGTTTGCACAGTCCCCCTTGTGTGGCACTCTCTATATTGGAGGAGTTTTACATTTTTGTGGGTGTGGGAGCTGCGTGTGGGATGGGTTCTTTCCTGCACTTCACGCGTCCTGGGGTGGGACTCAGCTCATCAGGGCTGTACACAAGCACCTCTGCCCTCTGAGCCATCTCCGTGGCCCTGCTTCTGTTATTGTTTATTTTTTGAGACAGGGTCTCTTGTGTTCCAGGTTGTCCTCCAACTCAACATGGCGCTGAGGATGGCCTTGAGTTTCTGATCCTCCTGTCTCTGCTGGGGTTAGAGCATGCTTTGCTTTATGTCCACACTAAGCTGATAGTGTTTGGTGCAACTTACTACACTGCACATGTGCACTCCTAGTGAGTTGTTTGAAATGGCAGGTGCGGGATGGGCTAGTAGGTGCTGTGCAGGCATCTGGGAGCCCATCTGAAAATTACCTTTAATCCCAGCACTCAGGAAACAGAGGTAGGAGGATCTCTGTGAGTTCAAGGTCTACATGGTGGTCTACACAGTGAATTCCAGGACAGCCAGGGCTAAATAGACGACCCTATCTCCAAAACAAAACAAAACAAAAAAGATGGAAGGAAAAAGTCAACTCCACAAAATTGTCCTCTGACCTCCACACATGCACTGTGGCATGCATCGTCCACCCCAATCATGCACACTTATGATTTAAAAACAACCTTGTTTTAAAAAGAAAGCCACCCTATTAATTCATTACTCTGAACATTCTTAATCTCTGTCTTGACCTGTTTTTCACTCAGCAGAGGGTTGTTTAGTTTCCATGAGTTTGTAAGCTTTGTTGTTCCTGCTGCCACCAGCACTCAGCTTTAACCTGTGGTGGTCAGACAGGATGCAGAGTGTTATTTCAATTGTATTGTATCTGTTGAGACTTCCTTTGTGTCTGAGTAGGTGGTCGGTTTTGGAGAAAGTCCCTTGAGGTACAGAGAAGGAGGTGTATGTATTCTTTTGTGCTTGGGTGAAATTACCTTTAATCCCAGCACTCAGGAAACAGAGGTAGGAGGATCTCTGTGAGTTCAAGGTCTACATGGTGGTCTACACAGTGAATTCCTGTTCTGTAAATAAATTAGGTCTATCTGGCTTGTAACATGTTAGCTCCAGCATTTCTGTTTCCTTTTTGTCTGATGATCTTTACTTCTGTGTCCAGAGCTCGGCAGGCTTGTCTTGAGCTTTCTCTATGAGAGTTCCAGAGCATAGGTTGTATTCTCAGGGGGATCCAGTTGGCTTTTTTTCATTTGTCAGTGAAGAATCACTTGCTAGTCTCAGGTGCTGCTTACATTCCAGCTGTCACTTGCAAAGGAGCAGGGGAAGAGCGTGAATAAACCCCACGAGTCAGGGCACCCTGTGATGTCTGTAGTACCTGTGCTTGATGTCAGATAGGCAAACCTAGAGGAATGCTGAAGAATATTGGTTCTTGTGGCTTCGACCCCTGTAGCAGGCTCTATGGGGGAGATGGGCCTGGGTATTAGGGATGGAGGGGAATGCTAAGTCACGGTTTACATGGATGACACCCAGACACTCGTCAGGCAGAAAAGCCACTGTGGGCCCATGTCTAGTAGAGTGCCATGTCTCTGGTCTCCCAAGTGCCAATCAGGGGAGGGATATCGACAAAACATTCTAGAGACTGTTTCCAGAGATTGAACAGAGAGGTATTAGGACCTGCGCTAAAGCAGTTACCAGGAAGAGGAAGTATAGGAGGCAAGCCTGAACTCCGGCTCTCACCAGGAAGGATGACCTAGTTAGACAGAGCAGCCTGGTGGAGCCACCAGGACCTCATGTGTGACCCTTCCTCTTCCAGCAACCAGACTTCATGGCGGAAAGCCAATCTTACGTGCAAGCTTGCCATTGACAACTTGGAGAAGGCAGAACTTCTACAAGGAGGAGACTCCTTACGGCAAAGGTAACATCCATTTGTCCTTCTGGGTCTGCCGTCTCAGCACCACAAAAGGGAAGCGGCCTTTTGTTTTCGGAACATTTACACTTTATGTTATTGTATAAATAACTTTTTTTTCTGTTTTAATACTGGTCTCATACATCCCAGTCTGGTCTCAAACTTGCTGTGATCTTACAGGTGTGTACCGCCACACCAAGTTTGTGCAGTTCTGGAGATGTAACCAAGGGCTTTGTGCATTCAAGACAAGCATCTGCTAGCCAAGTTACGTTCTCAGCCCTGACTAAATTTGAATAAACTTGGTTTGGATTTTTTTTATTTGTTTGTTTGTTTGTTTGGTTGATTTTGGTTTTGTAGTAATAGGGGTTGAATTAGGGCCTCATGCATGAGGGCCAGATGTTCTATCACTAAGCCTTTCCAGTACGCCTATCCCAGTCCTCCCTGACAGTTTTTTTTTTTTAAGACTTATTTTAACCATACATGAGTAGTATTTATGGTACTAACCAGTCCTATTGGTGTGTCTGCATTCTGTCCTTTCAGTATTATATGAGATGCATCAAGGCAGATCTTTGTCTGGTTCATTTGAAGAAGTTCTCTGGGAGTGAACACATTTCTGAGTCTCTCTGTACCTAGTACAGAAGGCAGTGTGGTTTCTGTTCCCCCAGCAGTGCTCAAGAACGTGGGTACAGCATGTATCTTTAGCCACACTGCCTGATGTTTTAGAAACATGCAAGCAGGGCAGCAGTGGCACACATGTTTAATCCCAGCACTTGGGAGGCAGAGGCAGGTGACTCTCTATGAGTTTGAAGCCAGCCTGGTCTACAGAGTGAGTTCCAGGACAGCCAGAGCCACACTGAGAAACCCTGTCTTGAAAAACAAGAAAGGCAGGAAGGAAGGAGGGAAATAAATGTGTGCTAGCTGGCTGTGTCACCACACACCTGTCATCTGAGCACCTGGGGATGGCTGAGGTGAGGACACTCTGCCTTCTAGGCCAGCCTGAGCTATATTTTGGGGCCCCATCTCAGAGCACAAACAGAAAAGCACTGATGTGGTAGGTTAAAAATGATGCATTTGCAAGCGAGGCTTTTGTTGTTATTGCTCCTTCCTCTGGACTTGCAGGAAAACGACCAAAGAGAGTTTGGCCCAGACCTCCAGCACCATCACAGAGAGTCTCATGGGGATCAGCAGGATGATGTCCCAGCAGGTGCAGCAGAGCGAGGAGGCTATGCAGACTCTAGGTGAGAAGGAGGAGGAGGAGGCTGTTCCAGAGCACAGGCCCTGGCACCTCTACACACGCAGTTCTCTGCCTCTCCCCACCCGAAACTTCCCAAGTGTGTCTTAGGAGATGATCAGACAGCTTGCTCCTGTCAGGGAGCTGTTCTGCCCCTCCTCTTCTTTCAGTTAGGCAGCTGTGCTAGACACGCTGGGCGCCATCAGTGCCTCCCAGAGGAAGCATTGCTAGGCTCCTGTGAAGCAGAACTGGCTGGCCTCTCTGGAGATGGTGTCAGCAGTGCTCATAAGGGGTCCAGGAGTCTGGTTTGGAGCATGGGCTCATGGGTCTAGTATTGCCAGGCAGGTTTGGGAATTGGGGCAAGACTGGGAAGACTGTTACTGTGAGTTCCTTTCGAATGTTCCAGCCAGTGGCTAAGGAGAGGCTGTGTGACAGTACTGCATTCCTGCCAAGTGCCTTCTTGCCATGGCTCCTGTAGAGAATTTGCCCTTCCAAGGCCTTTCAGTGTAAGGAACAGGAAAGGAGTGTGCTGTTCGTAAGACTTCACATGTCCACCACAGTAAACAACGGGGTTTGGGCTGTCACTCAGCCATCTTGCTTCCTTTCTACCCTTAGTTCTTCCTCTACCCCAGACATCATCCAGGAAAATAGCTCAACACGTCTAAAAGCTAATACTAAGGGGGCTGGAGAGATGGCTCAGTGGTTAAAAGCAGGAAGTGCTCCTGAAAAAAAAACCCAAGTTCAGTCCCCAGCACCCATGTCAGGCAGCTTTCAATTGTGTATAACTCTGAGGGCATCTCCCACGTGCACCATCCACCCAGATATGCACATAATTAACAAGAATAAGTTACACACACACACACACACACACACACACGCACACACACACGCACGCTCAGGCACTGGCCTTGCTAACAGCCAGCCAGCAGCTCCAGCTCATTATTCCCAGGAGTACAGTCTGATTCAGACTCCTTCCTCTTCTGTTGCAGTCAGCTCTTCTCGGACTCTCCTGGATGCAAACGAAGAGTTTAAGTCCATGTCAGGAACCATCCAGTTGGGCCGGAAGCTCATCACAAAATACAACCGCCGCGAACTGACGGACAAGCTTCTCATCTTCCTCGCCCTGGCCCTGTTCCTTGCCACGGTCCTCTATATTGTGAAAAAGCGCCTATTTCCATTTCTGTAAGCGAGAGCTGCCAGCTTTGACATGTGCATTCCTGCTTCAGAACCTGAGGCTCTCAAGGACTGGTCGGGCTGTCGCACTGGGCTTCCCCTCTCCCTCAGGTGCTCAGTGAATCCAACAGAGGGAAAGTCAGCAGCGAAGCTTCCTGTCAGAGGGCTTGGAAAGGGTGTGTGGACTAGAGGAGACCGGAACCTCCAGGACGGAGGCACTCCACACTCACCCAGATTCCAAGGACTGCGGCTGCCTCCTAGAGTACTTCAGCTCTGGGACTTGGTGCACTTCCTCTCTCTTGCCTGTCCAGAGGTTCTGGATCTGGTGGAGGGAAGAGAGGAGAGGCCTGTGGGAGGGAAGGTGACTGCAGCTCATGGCTGTTCCCTGAATAAACCTCATTTATTTAATGGAGTGGTAAATACTTACTACTAGAAGCTCTCTCTCTGGGAATGTGTGTGCCTCCTCGTGTTCTAACTCCTAGGACATGAAGTTAGATCACTCATTGGACAAGGAGTTACTGTAGCCAAGGGAGGACTCAGAGGCTAAGAACACTGCTGCTCTTTCAAAAGACCAGGGTTCTGTTCCCAGCACCTACATGGTGGCTCACAGCCACCTCTAACTCCAGTTCCAGGGACCTGATGCCCTCTGTTGGCCCCAGGCAGGTGCATGGTGCACTTACATATGTAAGTCAAGCACTTGTGCACATACTGTTTTTAATTTATTGAGGGTGAGAGAGCTGGCTCAGTGTTAGCGGTACTTGTGAGTAAGTCTGATGCCCTGAGTTCCCTCTGCCCCACGGGTGGAAGGAGAAACCCATCTCCAGGGCATTGTGCAGCAGTGGCATGTGCTACGACCCTGCATACACACATAGAAAAAAGGTAAAGAAGCATGGAGTGGCTGTCACAGGCTGATTCCTAGACATCACCAGACATTACACATGTACTTGTGAAGCTGACACACTCCCTCAAGCAGCAACAGAAGAGAGGTGTCAGCGAGGGGAACCACAAAGAGCAGCAACTGGCGCAGCCCACAGCACCGTTTCTAAGTGCTGAGGTGGGTCTTTCTGCCAGCAGCCTGGCAGGGCCTGGGACATTGCAGTGTCTGAGGAACTCTCTGACTCCCTTCTCTCTGGTCCAGACTAAGCATGACAGAGTTAGAAGCCAGTACTGTCCATGCCCCAGGTACAGGCTCCCAGCTAGGTCATCCCTAGAGGTCTCCTATGCTGAAAGTCTGGCTGGCATTGTCCTTGAAGTTCATAGCCTGTTCATAGCACTGAAGGGTCTGGGAGGTGTGAGTGGAAGATCACAGGCCTAGAACTGGAAATATTCAGACTTCATAGCCCTGAGCAAATTACCTTACAGTACAGTTCCCCATCTACACAATGGAGGTCAGAGTCCAAACAGCGCTGGTGTGAATGAAGGAAAACGGGAAGTAGCGGGTGTAGCGGATATCAAGAGTCAGAACCTTTGTTGTGAAGGGACAGGTCATCCTGGGACCAAGTATGTGCTGTTGGCTGTAAATATAGACTGATTTACTGAGTACAGTGTAAGTGGAAAGGGGTATGTGTGTGTGTGTGTGTCACAGCGAGTAATCCCACACACACTGAACAGTCAGTCGGCTGACTGGGAAAGCTCCTAAGGGCACAATGGTGGATTGCACATACAGAGAGCTTGCACTGGGTAGACCATCATGGCACTGTGGAGAAATACATGAGATTTCTGTAAAGATGGCGTGTGACTAAAAACCCATGAACTGATCAGTTCTGGAATTTTCCATTTTATATTTTCATCTGTGGTTGGCCATAGATAGCTAAAGTTTGAAGAGCAAAGTCACAGATAAGGTATGTAAAGGAAGACTTAGCACATACATACCACACACCACACACATACATACACACCACACATACAGACACCACACACACAAACACACACCACATACCATACACACACCACATACACCACACATACACACACACACTCCACATACACACACCACACGAATACACACCACATACACATACCACACACACAGACACACCCCACGTACACATATCACATACACACACACACACACATATACACCACATATGTGCCACATACATACACACATCACACACACACCCTACACACATACACACATCACACACACCCCAAATACACACTCATACATTCTTAAACAATTCTTGATCTCCATAGGCTCTTGGAGGTGCAAACTATACACACAGATCATAGATTAATCTGAGTGCACAGCCGCGATGGAAAGTTCCCGCGGGGATCCCAGCTGTAAGCGCGGCAGGTGGGGGGTTCTCCAATGGGGATTTGTCTTGTCTACGTTTCTCTTCACTCTCCCCACTAGCTGTCAACATCTTCACACTGTGGAAATGTGTGGCCCTAAAAGTGTCCCTTCCGCCCTTTTGCTTGCCTCCTGAAACTAGAGTCTGACCTATTATGTGAGTCACCAGGACGGCATCTTGACCACCCCGTTCTTCCCCCATCAGCAGCCTAACTCTTCCTCACCCGCTTAGCTGTGCAGAAAGCAGTCTTCCGCACTCAGCCATGAGGGGGCAGTGTCCACACTTACTCTGCACTCTCACAGTCGTAGAGCTAGCTCCAGTGGCTGACATGCTCTAAAGGCTACCTTAAAAAGGGAGGGGGGGGGACAACTAAATACGCAAGGCCTGGGTTGGGCTATGTTCCATAAGTTCCTTTAATATTCAATTAAACAATAAGGCAAGCTCAAATACTACATTTTAATTGGCCAATGGTAATGGAGTCAAAAATCCAGAGCAGCCTTCAAAGGACCATTCATTCATTCAGAGGGATTTTGCTGAGCATCTACTGTATGCCATCGTGTGTCACGGAGCTGCAGTATGTGGGCAAGGGGAACAGATGATAAATGACGCCCATGCTAAACGTGTCCTCAGTATGTCAGAAAGTGCAGCAGTGAGCTTTCTGTATCCTTGGGTTCCCCATCTGCAGATTCAACCAACTTTACATTTAAAAAAGAAAAATTTTATATTGTATAGACTTTATTTGTTGCTTTGCAATATGAAGCATGGTCAGGGCCAGGTGTGGTGGTACACACCTTTAATCCTAGCACTAAGGAGGCAGAGGCTGGCCAGCCTGATCTACATGTTGAGTTTCCTGCCAGACAGGGCTGCATGGTAAAACTCGGTCTGAGAAAAATAAAAAAGGTAGTCAGCTGATAGAAAAGGGGTCAGCCACCCGCAGGCCTGGAGGGCCTAACCAGCTCTCAGATGACACACCATCTTGTTTCCCTCACTTCTCTGTCAGCCTCTCTCTCTCTCTCTCTCTCTCTCCATTTTCTGAACACTAAATGCTTAGTGTTCACTTAGATCAAGCTCGCCCTGCTTTGCCCTGCACGGTCTCTCAGAGCCAAGGTCCATGTACCCACAGCTTTAGTCATCTGTAGGAAGAGCATCAACAGTCCCAGAGTTGTACGACAGAACAGCCTCCCCAGGGGCTCGGACCACAGGCATCTCTGTCCCTGTGTCCTCCTGCCAAACACCTAGGCCTTCTCCAGGCTCCATCTTCCCCAATAAACTTCTTCCTGGAGGCTGTTAGGGCTAAGGATACACCATCTCAAAATGTGAGTGTGTGAGATCAGAATCGGCCACTCAAGATAGACTTTTCTTGGGGGCTGGAGACATGACTCTGTTGTTGCTCTTTCAGAGGACCTGTGTTCAATTCCTAGCACCCACACGGCACTCACAGTTACCTGAAGTCCTCTTCTGACCTCTGTGGGCATCAGGTACATACGCACACACAGGGCAGACACTCATACACATAATAGAAATCTTTTTTTTTAAAAAATTGCTTGTTTGCGCCGGGCGGTGGTGGCGCACGCCTTTAATCCCAGCACTCGGGAGGCAGAGGCAGGCGGATTTCTGAGTTCGAGGCCAGCCTGGTCTACAGAGTGAGTTCCAGGACAGCCCGGGCTATACAGAGAAACCCTGTCTCGAAAAACCAAAAAAAAAAAAAAAAAAAAAAAAAAAAAAATTGCTTGTTTGTTTTGAGATGGGGTCTATGTAGCCCTAGCTGTCCTAGAACTTGTTCTGTAGACCTGGATGGCCTTGAACTCAGAGATCTGCCTGCCTCTGCAAAGAGCTGTGTTTGTGCTACCATGCCTGGCACTCCTTTAAAAAAAAAAAGAAAAGAAAAGAAAACGGGCTGGACAGATGGCTCAGTGGTTAAGAGCACTGACTGCTCTTTCAGATGTCCTGAGTTCAATTCCCAGCAATCTCATGGTGGCTCACAAACATCTGTAATGGGATCTGATGCCCTCTTCTGGTGTGTCTGAAGACAGCAACAGTGTACACACATATATAAAATAAACCTTTTTTTAAAAAAATTGAAAACAACATTTGGCCATATCTGTGTGGCAGAGGGCTGTTCCACACACCTAACCCCCGAGTGGCCTCATCTACATAAAACAAGCAAAAGTCGCCACATATTCCCAGGTCCTCCTCCCTTTGCTCCTTGTGCACCTCAGATGCTGGAGGAAGGTCAATCACTGTCTCAGTTTGCAGGATTTTCATGTGCACATACAAAAAAACCAAGTGTGGTTTCCTGCTGTCGCTCTATTCTAATTTAGCTTATAGCCTGGCCCATGAGCCTGGAAGCCTGACAGTCATGCTCTCCTCCATCTTCCTTCTCCCTTCACCCACCCCATCTTCTTGAAGCCTTGTAGTAAACCAGAAAGTAAGACTGCATTGCTGCTACTGAACCAGCCATTCTGAACCACTGCATTGCCAGCTGTGGATGACTTCTAATGTCCAGTGCGGGATTCTGCAATAAAATTCAATTTAGAGATGCTTTAAGGAACAAACAGATTTTAAAAGAATTGTTAGGGGGATTTTTTTAAGACAGGGTTTCTCTGTCTGAAGCTCACTCTGTAGACCAAGCTGGCCTCAAACTCAGACTTCCTCCTGCCTCTCTCTCCTGAGTGCTGGGATTAAAGCTGTGTCCTGCCACACCCAGCTTGAAGGATTTTTTTTTAAAAGACAGCAATATAATATAAATTATTTTTTCTTCCTGAGTTAACAGTGGTCTTCCCTGAGCCATTGGTGGTCTTCCCTAGGCCGCTGCTCACAGCTTTGCCCAAGTTGCGCTCGAGCAAGGGCAGAATAAAAATAGCTGTAGTTATCTAAGAGATAGACGGTCTGGTGGTGCTGTCAGGGATGAAGGGGTGAAGCCTGGGGCCAGGGGGGGCATGTTATCACACCACCATCCCTTCAGCCTCCAACAGTGGGCTCAGGCTACAGGAGTCACTCAGGGACCCACAGCATTGGGTGTGTTTATGTACTTGGCTGTTTACATGGGCCATGGGAGCATGGTCAGGGAGATGTGAGTCCTAATGGTACTGTCCCTGGTCTGTGTCCCAGATCTGTA